ACTTGTCTAACTTTCTCTGTTATTTCTATCAATGAATGAGTTGTTGAGTATTTATTGCAAAAACCATATTGGTGTATACATTTTATGAGATTCGACACCTCAACTTTAGTCACGGGATCAATGAAAAAAAAGTTAGTATTTTATATTGATAAAAAAACTAACAAAAAAGCAAATTTTAGCTAATTTTTTAAAATACTAGGTATTTTAAGAAATTTGCTAAAAATACATTTAGAAAAAACAATATTTTTAAGCAGTCTTTATAGGGAGCATTTTTTGGTACTTAAATGTTTTACTACTAGTACTGATACTTAATACTTTTTCAAATGTTTTACTATTAGTATTGATATTTAATACTTTTTCAAATGTACAAGGGTTTTCGTTTTTGCAGTTGCACGTTTTGGAAGATTTATGGTTGGAAATAGGAAATAAGAGCATAAAGGTTCAAAATAATTAGAAATGACTTGTGGCTCTCTCTAATCCAATAAATCTATGTTGAATTCGCCCATTAGTACAATATTTTGTTTCATGACTTAACCTTATAAGGAGAGGATTAAAATTAAATTAAGGATTAAAATAGATAGTTGAAATTTCAGTGATGTTTAAAGAGGGATGTCAATATAGCATCCAAAAATGGTACTATTCTTAAGTGGATTTATAACTTCAACCAAAACAGACTTTATAAATTCGGAAGCACTAATTAGGAACACGCTACGATTTATGTAATTAAGATTTGAATTAAATGAAGAAGCGCACCCCCTTTTTTTTTTGACTCTTTTGGACTATACTCGATGTTATATCTTTTTAAGATAATGCCAGTTATATTAGAATTCTCTGTGTATAATTTAGACATAGTAATTTCTATCACTATGGGAAGAGTATTAAAGATACTAACAAGATTGGAGAAATCATTGATGTGAAATGGGTGTGAAAAAAGTTTAAGATGGAAACCAACTACTTTATTATACATTCATCAACATACAGTTCTTTTTTGGTAACTATTCCACTTATTCTTGCGTAGAGTTTACTCACTCTATATGGAAAAAATAGCAATTCAAACAAAAAATTTCAGCACCCACTTTGCTTTGTAGTATGACATCATTAGGTGACTGAGTCCATCATTAGGTGACTGAGCCCTACTATTTAAATAGTGTAAGTCATTATCTTACTTCGTTTGGATTGAATTAAGTTTACAGTGATTCCAGATTTATAAAATTCTCTTTTTAGATTATTAATTAGAAGTACTTAAAACTTTTTAATCGTCACCTATGTGGTTTTTTGATTTTCTAGGTAAGATATAAATATAAACACTTGATATAGAGCAGCATTTGGCTTGGAAGTGATTTGAAAACAACTTACAACAACTTACCTTTGTCAATATTTTCATCAGAAAATTTGTACATAAGCAAATTTTTTGTTAGTTTTTTTTTAACGATGAGATTATTTTCTCAGGAAAAAAAGAATGCTACTACTCAAAGATTAATTGAAGTGTAAATTAATTAAAAAAATCAATTAATTGATGTGTTAATTAGTGGAAGATGATTAGATTTTATTTTTGTATCTATTCTTAAAATCATCTTATAAGATGATTTTATAATTATAAAATCATAAGAACATCTTATAGCTGTTCTAAGAACATCTTATAGCTGTCCTAAGAACATCTTATAGCTGTTCTAAGAACATCTTATAGCTGTTCTAAGAACATCTTATAGCTGTTCTAAGAACATCTTATAGCTGTTCTAAGAACATCTTATAGCTGTTCTAAGAACATCTTATAGCTGTTCTAAGAACATCTTATAGCTGTTCTAAGAACATCTTATAGCTGTTCTAAGAACATCTTATAGCTGTTCTAAGAACATCTTATAGCTGTTCTAAGAACATCTTATAGCTGTTCTAAGAACATCTTATAGCTGTTCTAAGAACATCTTATAGCTGTTCTAAGAACAGGAAAACTATTTCAACGGTTTGAGAACAAGGTTGTATAAATATTTGAAAATTACAAAATTTTTCGTTAATGATAAGCAAGTAAAAGAAACAAGCTTTTTTGACTTGTGGATTTTGATTTTATGTGTTTTTTTGAAACACAATTTCTTGTTAGCAGAACTTTATTGATTAATAAAATTTTTTGAATTTGTATAATACAACATAACATACTTCTTTCAACTCTTTGAATTTTCATGTAAAACTATATTCAGGGGCAATTCAAGAAATAATATTGGGAAATGGGAAGGGGCAAATTCTTTAAAAGTACCGACTGCTGAAAAAAGGTCTTCCAAACTCAGAATCATCATATCTCGTAAAAATCTTATAACTTTTTGAAGAATTGCTTAAGATTTTTGAAGAATTGCTTAAGATCATTATTTTTATCTTTAAAAGGCTGCAACCCAACCAACCAAAATCAATAGTTACACTGAAACCTAAACCACCAAAATCAAGCACTGCACTGAAACTCAACCAAAAAAAACCAATAAATATAAAAATAGTTTAAATAAAAAGTTTTTTTTAATTGAATAAACAATATATTTCCGTAGAAGCAAATAAAAAAAGTGGATCTCTTTATTACTCCATATTGGTACTAAAAAGTCTTCACTTTTTAGGGAAAAAAAGTCAATGCTTTGTTGATATTGTTTGGAATACATACTGAACACAATGATATATTAAAAGTAATCTTAATATACCATAGTGCTAAGCTTGATATTTTTTATAGCAATTTGACAAAAACTAATAAGAAGTTTGACTTAATATTTAAAAAACTACCTGAAAGTAGTAAATATATTATACTTTTTTTTATTGCTGTTGGAGGTTTTACCAAATTTGACCTGATACACGTACGATACAACGGTTTATGTGTTTTTGTAACATTATCTTTAGTTCACTTGGGAACGCCATTTCAACGGCTTAATTAGATAGCATGCGCTCTAACCTAACCTTATAACTTTTTTGCCATTTTTAACACAAGAATTAAATATTTTATCATATAACGGTTTTCCATTTTTATCAGCATATGGTTTAAGAAAAGTGACAAATAGTATTTTTTTTTAAAACAACTTCATATAACCTATTTAATGTGTTATATACAATGCGAACTTAATTTAATTTGTAAATAAAACATAAAACAACACCGTATGATAAAACACAGGTGATCTCAAAAAATTGACTTAGTCGAACGGAAGATTGCCGTAACAATGTCGAGGCTCTCTTGTCAAACCCTAATTACGACGCTGTCCTTAAGGTCCGAAAATATATAAAAAAGACTTCTTCAATTAAAAGAGAACCTGCCTACCCCAAACCCTCAGTCGTTGTTTCCATATTCCACTGCATTTTCTCTCTAAAAATCAGTCGGTGTATGTGCACACCGCTGCGCAAATCTCTATATACCCCATTTTGCATATTTCCTAGCAATACGAGTTCGCGGAATAGGATTTGACAAGAGTGAGTTCCGCAAGATTGCTACCCGATTTTTTTTTAATTTGATCAGCGAGATTATTTTTTTAACTTTTATTAAAACTCTCTTCACTGACTAAATTTTTAATAGTAAATAAAATTGTCAGCGTTTTTTCAGATTATTTAAAGTAAGATTTTGAGATTTAATAAAACGCAGACTCGTAAGTCATTAACTTTTGAATACTAACAATAATTTTGTAGGTCTGCGTTTTATTAAGTATTTAAAATCTTATTTTCAATCATCCTAAAGAACGTTAACCAAATAAAAATAGGGTAGGTACAATCGGCGGGGCGGGGCGGAGCACGGGGGCGGATCAGCAGGGCGGATCATTTTAACGGTACAAACGGCGGGGCGGATAATTTAAACGTTGCTAATATTTTATGTTTTTAAAAACAACGTGATCCACCAATTTATATCAAGTGATCTGCCAAACTTTATATAGTAATTCGCCTGATATTTTGACTGCTTATATCAAACTTTTCAAGTTTTAATGATTGTTTAACCAAAAAACAACGTGATCCGCCATTTATCCGCCATTTGTCTGCATTTATCCGCAATTTATATTTATTTATATTATAAATTGGCAGATCACGTCGTTTTTTGGTTGAACAATCATTAAAACTTAAAAGTTTGATATAAGCAGACAAAATATTAGGCGGATCATTATATAAAGTTTGGCAGATCACTTGATATAAATTGGTGGATCACATTGTTTTTTCGCAAAACAATCATTTAATTTAAAAAGTTTGATATTAGCAATCAAAATATTAGGCTTATTACTATATAAAAGTTGGCGGATCACTTGATATAAATGGCGGATCACATTGTTTTTTGGTAGGAAAATTATTAAAACTTTGAGAGTTTGATTTGATCGATCGAAATATTAGGCGGATCACTTTGTAGATCACGTTGTTTTTGGTAGAATAATCATTAAAACTTAAAGAGTTTGATATAAGTAATCAAAATATTAGGCGGATTACTATATAAAATTTGGCGGATCACTTGATATAGCAGCCGTGGCGCAGTGTAGCGCACTTGCCTCAGAAACGTGGTTCAAACCCACTTCTGGGCAAGTTTTGCGACATCGGTTGGGAAGGAGGTGTGAACTTTCTATTAAATGCTCTTCCGCGGTGCTCTGTGATAAGACCGTAAGGACTTCTTGGGGCACCTAAATCAACATAAAAAAAAAAAAAGATATAAATTGGCGGATCACGTTGTTTTTTGTAAAAATGATTTTAAAATTATATAATATTTTTCGTCGTTTATTAAAATTATAATTTGCAAATACCTTTTAAATATTATTTCTATAATGAACTTAAACTATATCTGAATCTATAAAAAATACTTATCAAATAAAAAAAAAAAAAAAAAAGTTTTATTTATTTTATTTAATGAAGTATGACTTGCATTATAACGTTTAAATTATCCGCCCCGCCGTTTGTACCGTTAAAATGATCCGCCCGCTGATCCGCCCCGCCCCGCCGATTGTACCTACCCATAAAAATATCAATTATAATTAAACAATTTTAAAATGGCAGAAAGTAAAAACAGTAGGAGCCGTTAAATACAGGAATGGCTCCCAATTTTGATTGGATGAAAAAATTTTGTTTCACGAAGTCCGAAAAACACTTTTTCTCGTTTGCCGGATATCGTGACTTGTATATGTTATATATGAAACATGTATATGAAATATTATGAATATATTCTTTAGATCGGAGCAAATATTTTGACCAATCAAATTAGGGAGCCATTCCTGTAAGTCTTCGATTGTAGGTTTTATTTACATAAATCTTATTTACCGCTATTGTTTTTAATTTGTCTATAGTATTATAGTTTACTAACTTTGTTAATTTATTTTTTATATTATTCTTAAGTAAAACATATACTGAGAGTGTTAAGTAAAACATGTACAGAGAGTAAAACATAAAATTATATTATTTTTTGTTATACATTCAATGTGTAAATAAAAATGTTATTTATTTTTATTAATTTAATTTTATTAATTAATTTTTATTTTCTTAAATTCATAAAATACAGTGTGTTTTATTCACACATTAATTGTGTAATAATATGTTTTGTTATTGTAAATGTATTGTAATACATTTACAATAGTTACCCTGTGTGTTACATAGTTACCCTGTGTATTATAATACACTTACCTATTACATTTACCTATTACATTATTACATTTAATAATTAACCTGTGTGTAACACTCAGAATAATTATTGTAAATGTATTATTAAACATTTACAATAATTAACATGTATTATTATACATTTTCAATAACAAAGCAACACACAATTTCTTACACGCTACTACTAAGCCAATACTTTTACATTCTAAACTATGGCAATACTTTCAATCAGAGGTTTGTTGGTTAAAAATAAAATTAAAATTAAATTGATATGCTTCATAAAATTATATTGTTTAACTAATGATTCTTTATTAAATTGTTTTATTAACTAATAAAGTTAAATGTTAAAATTAAATTAAATTTTTAAATGATGTAGTTTTCTATAATCAAATTTTATCTTACTATTAGGTCAACAAATATTATCTTACTGGCTAGATCTATTTTTTTTAAATATATGTCTTTAAAAAACATTGAGCACTCTAACTGTAAAATACACTATGTAAGTTAGTGTATTCTAAAATTTAAGTGCTCAATGTTTTTAAGCATTACGTTTGCAAGGAAAAATTAGTTCAATGCAATTTGCATTATTCAATGACCAGATTTGTTCAATGTTGGAGTAAGTTCCTGGCAAATTTTCGGATACCACAACAAGAATTTTTCTCTTAAATAGTGCTTTCTTCTATTCCTTTGAATAAGAGGTTAATTTGGTGGTAAGCTGCTATCTGCTCTTAATGCAGTACAACAATGCTTAGATAAAACTTGAGAAAACCTTTACCACTATCAATTCCAAGCTTAACAAAATATCCGTCAGAAAATTTGCAAGAGAATAACATGATAAATCATTGCATTGAGCAATGATTTATCATGTTATTCTCTTGCAAAATCTCTGCAGTGACTTAAAAATTACCTTTCCATTGGTAATTTTTAAATCACTGCAGGTGACTTAAAAAATATTCTTGGCTTAGATTAGTAAAAACACTCATCTAAATATCCTCTACAGTCTGTTTTAACCTAATAAACCTGCTGAAGGAGAAACAGACTGTAGAAAAGATTTTAATAAGTTTTTTTAAAATTTTATATATATATATATATTTATAAAATTTTACATCGACTACATCGACTGACATATAGCCTGACTCGCAAGGGAGTGCTGCTACATCGACTGACGGTTTGGTTTGGGCAGGCAGTCTATCATTTAAGAGAAAAAAAATTATTTAAGTTTTTAAACTTTTTCTGCTCTGCTTTATTAATGCTCTCTTTAAAACTACAGTTTATGGGAAAAACTTTCTATAACATTGTTATGTTGTTTGGCCTTGAACTTTATGTTGCAATCTCCTAATTTATGAGTGAAATCACTTGTATTAATAATCACAACAAATATTAGTCTAATAAGTTTTTTTAATCTAAAATAACATAATGAATAATTAAATCACAACATTCTCTGCAGCCATAAAATATATGAGTTTATATTAAGTAAGGTTCTTCACATATCTTCTTCTATTAACCTTAATGGTGGATGACTTACTCTTGAGGATCTACATGGTTAGGATTAGGGTCAGGGTTTGGGAAAATTTTCTGAAAACTAATAAATGCTCCTTGTGTATAAAGCACTTAAAGTACATTGTTTTATGAACTCATTGCTCACTAAATGCTTCCTACACACTCCACAAGCCTATTTCCCAGATATTTTTACTTGGTCATTCTTAACTTAGGTTAATCCTTAGCTCTTTTGTTTCAATTCCATCTTGTTAAGACTGAAAATTTTAAACACTTTATATATTAATTCTTCTTCAACTACATAAATTAGTTTTTATGCTAAGACAAGTCTAAACTCTTTACAAATAGATTACAAGAGGGTTACCAAAACCAAGGGTGTATCACTGAACAATGCTGCACACTAACCTTTACTTTCAAACTATCACTCTCTCTTTTGTTTTCATTTATGTTGTGATATTTTCATACATAGTTGTGAGAACTTTTTTAACATCTTTTTAACATCTTAAACCCATCACACAAGCTCTGATGGCACATTTTCAACGTTAAAAAACAATAGGAGAATTGTCTAACTGAGCTCTATTAATAGCTCTGGTTCTACTTCACTAAATTAAATTATCTTCGTATACAGCTTTTACTTTTTTCGAATGAGAAAACCTACTTCAATAAAATAAATGTTGTTACTATATCAACTTTATCTTAAACACACAATAGAGTGAGCTAATTGAAACTTAAAAGCTCTCATATTATTGATTGTGATCATGTTAAACAATATGTTAATTAGGTTTGTTGTTATTGTTATACTAAATTAAAAATCTTTCACTATCTATTATTCAAATTTATAAATTTATAACTACTTTCGAATTCTTAATACAAAAGAGGCAAATTAAAGGTATAAATAAATAGGTAATAAAAGAGTGGGTTAGAATTTGAGGGGGGGGGGGTGTCTTATTAGGCTTAGGGTGGGTGGGAAAATTTCCCAAAAGTTAATAAACCTTTTTTTTATCTAGGACTCGAGAGTATTTATAACTATAGAGCATACATCTATTTTAATTTTTTTTTATAGACTTGAGTGTTTGTGTTAAGCTTGTATAAAATTTTGCAAAGGTGTTGCCAATTTTTATGTATTCTTTATATGGTTATCTTTTAGAAGTAAAATTCAAAAGTAAATGATAGTTAAATCTATATAATTCACTACAAACAGTTATACACGAAGTCTAAGATGCGGATGATGAAGATTTGCTGCACGTCACATCAATCAGAGTAATGCTTGTGATTACCTTATTAGAGTCATGACTTAGTAAATCTTGATGAAAAAAACTGTTTGGTGAAATGACTTTTAGCAAAAAAAAATCTTATTAAACTGTCTAAATGATTACTTCTATAAAAAAGGTGTAGTGCATACAACTTGATGTGTTTTTTTTCATTAATTCTTTGTCAATAAAAAGTTAATTTGTCGATGCAATATATATCAAGTTTAGCTCATTTCAAAAAAGTGTTATTTTTTTAATAAAATGTAACACTAAGTAATCTAATACTGTAAGTCCATAAAGTGGGCTTTGAAGTTTAGAGTTGCCAAAATTAGAAATTATCTTTTGTCTGAGTTTTCAAAACTAATATACTGTAAAAAAACAATAAAATTAAGGTAAATTAAAATGGTTACCAGCGAGTCAGAAGCGATTGCTATAAATGTCAAAAATTGCATGGTGTGTGCATGCAAGTGTTTGTTACCTAAATGAATTTATTTTTTCTGCAAATTTATTTATATGTTAAAATGCTAACAAAAATTAAATTCTTGTTGCTTTTTTAATATTCACCAATTGCAAGAAGGAAAAAATTAAAAAGCGCATTTTCAACTTCCATCAATTACAAAAAAAGTTGATATCAAAATTGTTAACCTTGAGTATAGCCAGTTTTGATTTTTTTTTTGTAATGAAATGATTTTGGGTCATTACGTTACGCTATAAGGGGGGGAGGGGCTTGGTGCTTTTGTGACAACTTGCTTCTTGTGACAAAGGTGAGGAGGTGGGGAGGGGAGGGAGGGTTAAAAAGGGTCAAAAATTGCGTGACGTATTTTATGGACGACCCCTCATCAAAAAACTACATTAAACTTTATATTCATTAGTTAATCAAAACATTAAATTTACATTTAGTTTTGTAACTATTTGCATTATTCCAAGAAAAGTTTATTTTTCAAAAATCATAAATAATCTATTAAAATTAATATTAGTGAATTTTTCAACTCAAGATATTAACTTTTCTAATTACTCAACAAATAAAAATATCAGCAATCCTGATTTCAACAACGCTTTAGATTGCATAACTTCTAAAAGTTGCGTGAAAAATGATAAAAAAAGAAAATTTGTGTACAACAAATTTAATTTATTTTTAAAAACACAGTTACAAGTTAAAATTAGCTCATTATTTTCTAAATTTCCATATGAAAAACCATGCAGAAACGAACAATGCATGCGTGATTTACGTGCTCGCAAATGTTATAGACATACCAATTTGAAAAACTTCTTCGACCGTGCAAAGAAGTACCTTGGATACAATAGGAATTTTATATAAATTAATATATCATAGGAATTTTTTTTAAGCATTTTTTTGCAATTTAGTTTTGCCTTACTTTAATAATTTTTTTAATTTTTTAAAAATTTTATAAAATTAACGTAAACGTTTTCGGGCCGGTCGACTTACACAGCAAATGCTCCCAATGATGTTGAACTTCAATTCATCACTGATTAGGATAGTTCGCCATTTCTGCACATTCCAGTCAATATGAGATGTTGCAAACAGGAGTCTTTTCTTCTGGTTCTTTAGTGAAATCAGCGGTTTCTTTGCAGGGAGTCGAGAAAACAATCCGGCTTCAACAGCACGTTGTCTGATTGTTCGGTCCGATACAGGCAGCTCTATTTGCTTTTGCAACTCGACTGATGATATCCAGGGATCCTTCTTGACGGATCTGACGATCATAGAATCCTCTCTAGAAGTGGTGGAACGCGGTCTTCCACCTTTCTTATCTGCTGCCAACCTCCCCGTAGAACGATACTTGAGACAAAATGGACCTTATCAGTCTGGATACGGTCCATTTTTTCACGATATTTATCACTAATACTTTTTTTTGACATTCCATTTACGTAATCGCCAATAATTTTCTTTCTAAGTTCCAATCCAAGATTGTCGGGAGCTATTTTTGCACTTGAAGTCATAAAAATAATAAAAATAAATAATCACGCTTCTCAAGGCTTACCGTGTTACATTTACCTTGTGATGATACAATAATGCTCTGTGGAATACAACGTCTTGGTTGGATGTGGACTTTATTGATGTAATAAAACACTTGTTGTATTTCACTTCTTGTATTGATGTTCTTCGATAAAACACTTTGATAAAACTCACTTCGATAAACTGTCTTCGTAATACTGACTAATTGACTACCATATACTGACTGAATTACATGTCGGTTTACATGTCTCCTATATAGTAAAATAAACCTGTGTGAAGCTGTTCTGGAAGATTCTAGATGCTTTTTTTCGATGCTTCTGAATGTTTCTGGATACTTCTGGATGTTTCCAGATGCTTCTTCTGGAAGCTTCTGCATGCTTCTGTAAACATCTGGATACTTCCTTTAATTATTAAAAAATTTCCGTGACAATGACACGAACCAGACTTAAGAAAACGAAACAAACCAAAAAAGTTGCACTTGTTTTTTCTGCTGCAAAATGACACTTGTCAACGAAATTCTGCCTGTGTGCTGTCACCTGTCAGCTGATTGCTCATGTCATGGCATGCTATGACTCCAGAACTGTTTGCTGTGGTAGTATAGTTCGTTTCGTTTTTAAGACGTAAAATTCGGAACACTTTTTAGCATTGTTCCATGTTGGTTGCAAATGTTTTGTCCAATACTATATATATATATATATATATATATATATATATATATATATATATATATATATATATATATATATATATATATATATATATATATATATATATATATATATATATATATATATATATATATATATATATATATATATATATATATATATATATATATATATATATATATATATATATATATATATATATATATATATATATATATATATATATATATATATATATATATATATATATATATATATATATATATATATATATACAGTCTTGCAAGGTCGTAAAAAAGAGTTTCCCATAAACGGTAGTTTTAAAGAGATTGCAAACTTGAAACAATTTAAAAGTTTAATTAAATAATTTTTTTTTTTCTTAAATGATAGATAGCTAGCCCAAACCAAACCCTCAGTCGATGTAGCAGCGCTCTATAATGAGTCAGGCTATTTGTCAGTCGTTGCAGCAGCACTCCATAGCGAGTCAGGCTATAAGATAGTCGATGTAGCAACACTCCGCGTATATTTAAAAACTATATATTACCAAAACATATACAAAAAAAAAAAAAACACTGCTAATTAAAAAAAAATTCCAGTCGTTAATATTGTAGTTTTTTTTAAAAAACCAAATAATTTAATGCAAAATCGTTAAATTAATTGTTTTTAACATTCTGACCACAAAAAATTGTTGTTTGATCGCTGCGGTAGCAAAACTGTATAATTAATGACTTTTACATTAAAATACTCTTACGTCTACGAGATAAGGGTAGATAAGATAAACCTTGCAAAACTTCAAGTAAAAACTATGAAACTCAACATATAATGACATCTATATGTATTAAATACACACACCGAAATAATATTTTTTTTTACCATGCCGTTTGCTGCATTATGTCTGACAAAGTTGTTTTGTTCAGAAGTGGTGAAAAGTAAGCGTTAAGACCGTCACGCTACTTTTTACTACTTACTTAATTTTAGAAAAAAGTTGAAGACTTTAATGCTGTAACTTTTACGTACGAAATTATATGATAGTATTTCACATTTCTTGAAAGTTTCAAGTCATTTCCGTTTTTGATTCATTTTTAATAACTTAAAGTCTGTCAAACGTTATGACTGTCACTATCGCGGAATTGCTAATATATATGTGTATATATAAATATATTGCCGTTGCATTTTTATGTGCTGAACCTAGTTATACTTTTATCACCTTGGCGATTACGAATCTGATGGTTTTCATTACTTTTTTACTGATGATTTTCGCCACACAGCAATTACTATGTTTTAAAATTTTGCCAGATTTGGTATTTCCTCGAACATTTTACCTGCACTATTATATTGATCTGAGAATTTTTCCTTCCTCTACTTTAATTTGAAAAATAGCGTTTCCCCCATAAGTTAAATTACGCTTTCAACAGCAACTTAGCTAAATCATAAACAATTTTTGTTTTTTAAATAATACCATATCGTCGCCTCAGAGCAAAAATGTTTTATCTACAAAATTTGCATTTTTCAGGGCAATGAAAACAAACTTAGTTTAGATATCACAAATTAAAATTTTGCTACTTATAATAAAATGATTTTCTCAGAAATTAATAATAATTCAATACTTTATATTTATTTCAAAATATTTCCTTTAAATTAATACGGATAGTATTTAACTACACGTTCATCTCAACTTTTCAAAACTTGTAGATAGAACATTTTTGCTCTGAGGCGACGATATGCCATACTTATAACATGCTTACTACGTGTATTTTAAGTGCGGCCTATTTAAAATTTCAAAAAATATTCAGCGATTACTTGATTTTTTTTTTTTACATACTAAGCCTTCTAAAATCGAGGTTACTCCTTTATTTGGATTAAGTTGCCACCATTAGGCTGGTTAAGAAGCGTTACCTTAAGGCACCTAAAATTAATGAGGGAAAAAAAAATTGATGTACTACGGACGTGGAGGCTGTATGAACTAGTATTTATTCTTTTAAAGCAGTCGTTATACAACGACCGCAAATTTTTAATTAACTCTAACACATTAAAAAAACCAAATTTACGAATACGAGTAGTTGTTTATCACAAACCCTGAATTCCCCCTTTGAATGCTAGTGCCACCCCTTCTGGCTCTAGCATTCCCTCTTCGCCAGGTAAAAGTCGGCAAGTCCCGCCCACCATTTCCGATCCAAAAATGAAATGCCCTTCTTGTTTTCGGCCCTAGGTGAGTTTGGCGCCATGCCATAAAGTCATTCCACGTCAATTCTAATAATAAAAATAAATAAATAGTATGTAATTCGTCGTGGTTTCGGTCCAAGTTCAATTGACCAAAGAATTTTTACTAACATTCATGTTAACAACAAATTTATAACTACAGTTATTAGTTAAAGCTTAAAAAAATTAATTGATTATAAAATGTAAATATATTACCTTTCTCCAATGGGAGTAATGCCGGTGGCACTACTACTTTTGGCTCTGCAGCAGAAGACGTTGTTTCCGGAAGCGCTGATTTCTCTAAATAATATAATAGATCAAAATTGATTAATAACAATTTTTATAATAAATTTTGTAACGATTAAATGTTAAAATAAAAATTCAAGTAAAACAAAATTTTATTTACTTTCTCGAGGTTTATCTGTTTCTTTATTTAACATAAAATTGAAATTAAAAGTGTTATTTAAAATAATTATAATTATCTTATATAAAACAGTAAACTTTATTATATTGCCTTGTTTATAATTAGTTTAAACTTCATTAAATAATTTTATTTATATAAAAAAATTAAATATCTCTTTACAACATTTATTAATGGTGTAAAAATTTAGTTTAATGGAAGGGTAACTACCAGACTGTCCCTCTTTCCAATAATATTTTAGCCCCTACGCTACCTCCTTCACTCTTTATTATATTTAGAGGAGTGCGGGCAAGAGCAAGAGGTAAAAATCTTGCTTCTTGCTGAGGAGTGTATCACCCTTTGGGGCTCATCAGCGTGATGATGTGATACAGAAGGCATGTAAACACACCAGCTCGCTTTCTTGGCAGATCACTATTATCACTATACTAATATACTATAATCTTTGGAATTAGGGAAAATGAGGTCAGCAATATACTACCAACCTCAAACTGTTAGAAGTGGGCAAAAAAATTTGATTTTGTTTATACATACTATTCTTACTATATATATTAATCACTAAAATTCTAAATATATTAATCACTAATGTGATTATATTAATAACAAATATATTATTCACTAATACTATTATATTGTAACTATATATAATACTATACTATATATAAACATATAAACTATACTATAATTACAAACATATTCACTATTGTAAAAACCAAAAATAAATAGTTTAAAAATCAAATTGTTTTATCGATCTCAAATGATGGCTCAATGACATTAATGGTCTTTAACCAGACGGTTGTTGCATATAATGAAAAATAACAATTAAACGTTGACAAGTTAAACATCAAAGTATTAAAAACTATTACTGCTGTTAATATATACTTTTTGGAATGTTAATAACGAAACTGCATAAATCTCAATTTAACTTTGATTAAAGGTTTAAATACAAACTGTTGATCACGTTGCTGCCCAAAAATGTTGAAAAATGTTACAACCAAAAGACCAAAACACAACAAATCTAGGTCTACAACATACTACTTTTATAAAACACTATTTTTTTCTGTAATTTAATTCTTTGTTGAACTAACTTCTGTTAAACTAACTTGTCTTCAACCATTTTCTTGTTTAAACAAGAATTTTTGTTGTAATATCTACTTAAATGATTTATCATATATATATGCTTGGTTAATTCTATTCACTTTCAATTATTTCTTCTCTAAAATCATATTTGAAGCAAAATATTATCAAATAAAGTTGTAATAATACTTTTTCAAATGTAAATGTAAAATAAATCTTTTAAGTAACACTTACGTTTCTCGAAAATATTTAGAATACACATGGCTGTATAAAATCTTTTACTGCTGCAAAATTGATGCAAGTGCTTCACTCTAAAAAAATCTGCTAAACTTGTTTAGCAAAAACATTATAAATGCTAAAACACTGTGAATTTTAATGACTCCTAACTCAATTATGGAAGCTATCTATGACTCCTATGACTCCCTACCCAGTAGGGTGACTCTTAAAACAACACTTTTTAAAAAAACCTGATCTTACCCCTTTAATTTGTTGTATATAATACTAAAAGACTAGGTTTAAAATTTTTTTGAGCAATAACTATTTTTAGGGGTAGCTCAAGACCCAAAAATTTGACGGGTCCCAAATATATTTAAAAAAATTTCTTCTAAAGTATGTCAACCTGGTACTCAAAATAAGCAAAATTATATAAAAAATTCAAAAATGAAAATTGCTTTTCATAAAGATAACTTTTTTAGACATTAATGCATAAAAACTATTGTTTTTAAGCTGAAAATAAAGTCATAATTTTCAAGTTTAAAAATAATTTCTACGTAAATTGATTATTATTTTTAAAATTTTTATACAATTTCACTTCTTTTGAGTACCAGGTTGACATACTTTAAAAGCACTTTTATTTTCAAAATATTAAGGACCCCGTCAAATTATTATAATATAAATTATAATTATGGTCTGGAGCTACCCCTATAATCATTTTATATTCAAAAAAAATTCCAAACGTAGTGTTTTAGTATTATATCAGACAAATGATAAAAGTAGTATTTAAATTTTTTTCAAAAATTTTTTAACAGTCACCCTACTACCAGGTTTATAAAAAACTCTTTTTTTTAAATACTATTGTACATAATGAATATTACTTATATTTTATAAACGTGGGTCGGGGAGTCATAGGAACTATTTATTTATTAGATTATTCACAATGCACAATAGTATTTAAAATCCTATCCTAAAACAGATTTTTTTTTTCTGGGACAATGCAAATATTATTATTTAACTGGATTGCAATTGTCTTTAGTTGCAACATTCCTTCATTTTTTAACACATATGAGCATTTATTTGCTCTAGTGTTTAACTATATCTTATATAAGGAATATAAATATAAGATAACCCTAACGACTTATACCGATTACACAAAAGGCTATATAATACTAAATTACCAATGCCATAAAGGTATAAGCGTGTTGTGTCAAAAAAAATTTAACACCATGACACAAACAGCACAATTAGGGCAATTTATACCAGTGTCACAAATAGCATAATATTAAATGCCAATGCATATGCTAATATCAGAAAGGTATAAATGTCTATGCCGCTATGAAATTTTTGGCATAAACTAAAAATGAAGTATAAATTTAAAACATATGCAAAGAAACTGTAACAATTGCATGCAATGTTAACCTCGTCTTCTTTAAAAATCATCACCTTTAAACAATAATATTTGCATTCAGAATAAATGAAGCATTGTTAAAAACATTTGCATTGGGGTAATTTAAAAGTTAAACAGACAAATAAATAATTTAATTTAGAGAATGTTCTAGTTATAGATAATTTTTTATGGGAAATTGGACTCAACATGACTATGAAAACATTTTTAGTTATTTGAAGTTGTGATTTTCAAAACATTTATTACTTTATTTATCAAACTGCAAGCTGTTGGTCAGTAGAATAAGAAAAATAAATTATATTAAGATTTGGATTATAATTAGAAGATTTTAATAAAACAGTTTATTTGTAACATAACTTAATGATGCACACATAAACTCGAAATTTAAGTACTATAAAGAAGCTGAAAGAACTAAAAAAAGCTGCACAATAAATTAACAAGTGAACTTAACTCAATCAATATTTTGTATATTTATTCCACACGCACAACTTTTTTTGAATCACATTTATGGCATATCCAATGCACATCACCTACTGTTTCAGATAAAGACACACAAATCCTAAAAATATTACCAGGTTATGACATTTTTAAAAAGTAAAACCAAGTTGTAGGTCAATTTATTTTATGCTTATTCAACTTCATAAAAAAAATGTAGTTACTTACCAATGGTACCACGTCTCACAAACTTCACACTCAATCATATCCTTATACTGAGGTGTACTGCATATAGAACAACTCCAACTTTGTTCTAGGTGAAGCACTATAAAAACATGTTGATATAATGCATAATTTATACACACAAGTAAAACTGGAAAAAAATTTATTTACGTAAGCTTTTCAAATAGGTTTCTTCAAGCTTGAATGAGAAACCTATTTAAATCTAGAGCAGCCAGTAAAAATTCCATTAGAATCTGAGACAAATAAGAAAAATTTGATAGATAAAAAAAAAAAAAAAAAAGTGCCCCCTTAAAAAACTTACATTTTGTCTGAACCATTTCAAACACATCTGGGTTTATTAATTCTTTGACAATTGAAATATCATGATTTAGTATTTCTGGATGAGGAAAATTGTCATCCAGACGTAAATCTTTTATAGTTAATGTGTTACTGATAGTTGGTTTTTTGTAAGCAAATAATTCTAAAACTTTTCTTTGTTCTAAAAATATGGCAACTTACAAATGCAAAATTCCATAAGTAAATCACAAAAACTTAGAAAACTTAGAAAAAAGTCAAAACAACTAGTGATATGAAAAAGGTTTTTAAATACTTTAGACGGTTTGTACATAATGGTTTATAAAGAACTAAGATTTAAATTAGAAATACCTATCGACAATATGTTTGTTTTTATACTACTATTGGATGTTGTACCAAGTTTTGCTTTGGTCAATTTACTTGGTGACTGTAAGTGAGTTTCTTTAAGAAAAAAAAAATATATATTACATATATGTATGTATGAATATATATATATATATATATATATATATATATATATATATATATATATATATATGTATGTATGTATATATATATATATTTATATATTATAAACATATCGCATAACAAGAATATGACTTTTATATATATATATATATATATATATATATATATATATATATATATATATATATATATATATATATATAAAGAAGCCTTTAGCTTCCACTCCTTAAAAAAATGCCTAATTTTCCTAAAAATATAAAGAAAATGTTCTTCTAAGAATTTTTTTCAAGGTACGATTTTTAACACTTGTTATGCATATATTCAGTTAACATTTACAAGCTAAATGCGTTACAAGCAAAGGCTTGTAACAAGAGTAATATTAAGTTTTGTATTTAATGTATTTTGTAAAAAAACCGATAGCTCTTGCAATATATTGTTTAGAGTAGCAGCTCCGCTCTCAGACTGTGTGTATATTAGATATATATACACACGCACCCTTTATAATTGTTATAAAAATGTAAATATATATAAAGAAACAGATATTTGGAAACCAAAAAAATATATATATAAAAACCTTTTGTTTTCATGGTCCAGTTGGAGATATCTAATAAGTTATTTATTTCGGTAGCTGAAGGTTTTGCTAGCCTAAAGTTTGATGTTTTTCTTTTTCTTTTTGTTGAATAAAATGTTGGCTGCTTGGTTATTGTTTTGTATGATGGAACCTTACTTTTGATATGTAATTCATTTTGCTTATTTGTTGTTAGGCTTAAGAAAGTATTTTTAGCTAATGATATATTTTTCTGTAATGTCTGCAAACTATCCTCATCTGATATTGAACTAACGGATACTAAATTAGCTAGATTCTTTAAACTTCTAATAATGCTATCTTTTAAAATGTTAATATCTGCAGGTTCACAACCTTTTATAATTTTGCAGTCCAATTCAATTGAAGATGTTGGGAAATCGAGAGGTATAGTTGTTGTAAGTATACTAGGATTACTATGACGATGCACTAAATGGATATGCTTACAAGGGATATTTTTAGTTAAGAAATCCATACAGTCACAACTATATAAATGAGTACAAACTTTACATTCGGGACATTTAGTGAAACATTCAGTGATGTCACACAATTTTTGGTGTATTACAACTCTGTAATGGCAAGCATTTGTTTCAGATGGTATTAGCCAGGCTCCTTTATCGTCCTTAGTAAAACTTTCACATAGCTGTAGGCTTGCAATGTGTCTTGAATGCACCATTTTTAATTTATAGCTAATCTTTCCTTTTGTTAACTTTATTATTCTTTCATACACTTTGTCTCTGTTAAACTTTAACAAAGCGAACAAGCAATTATCAATTCTTTTATTGTGCTTACCTTGCAGGTAACTGTACTTAAAAACTTTGTGGAAAGATTCCATATACATATTAGTATTTATGCCATGACCCATACGATAACAGAATGCCCATATATGTTTATTATTAACCCAATATTTTTCAAAGTATTCAGCGAACATTTGTGTCAAAACTGATGATTGCAAGTAACCCATCAATGAGTTTAAATAGTCATCAAATAGGTTTTTATCACTAAGCTGTAAAACAAATCTTATTCGTTTGTATATATCTGCTTCCATTTCAAGATTGTGTACTTTTTTATGCAATTCTTCTCTCCATGCTTTATCAACATGCCAGGTACACCAGAATTTCAGAGGCGCACATAAGTAAACATCACAAAATGCTTCATAGTATTGAGATGCCAAATCACTCATTATCCATTTTGGACAAAAACTTCCAGAATGTTCTTGTAATTTTATAAAAAAAATTTTTAAAAATCTAAATGAATCACTGTTTGCTATACACCATCCAACAGGTTGCCCCTCACCTAATTCATCTACAACTAACATTGAAGTGAGAAGAAAATCATATGCATTTGTGCCATGCGTAGAATCAATACAAACACCATTTTTTCCAAACTGTTGCAGCATTTTTTTTTGGTGCTCTGTTTGCATTATAATTATAAAGTCTGATTCTTTAAATGTATTACATGTATCTAACACACCCTGTAGTTTATAATATAAAACAGGACTATTTGTCTTCATTTGCCATTCTTTTAGCCAAATTGCAACACTGTCTTGATCATTGGCATGAAGTTGTATAGAATTAATGTTGAATGCTTTTTCTAGGTTTTTGATATCTTGACGCTGGGTTAAATGTAACCTGGATTGAACACAACTTGTTTCATCTCTAATATCATTTAGAATTCTATCTTTGGTTACACCCATTTTCAGTTTGCAAGCAATTTCTTGCCTTTGAACGCTTGATAGAGAAATATGTTGAATTTCATTTTTATGTCCATAGTGTGAGTAACAAGCATTAACAATAACATGTCCATCTACAGTTTGGGTAACTTTAAGTGTGGACGTGCAATTTTTAGCAATTTTTCGAGTACCTATTAAATAGATATTTGTGATCATATAGATTAAAATAGTATTTGTATATCATATATATAATACATAAAATCTGAACATAGCAAAGATAATTAATCATCATCTGTAAAATTTTAAAAGATTTTTAAAACAAAGTGACGTATAGCACACAAAAACTAAACATGTTTAATAGTTTTTAGATATTTACATTAGGTGTTCTAATATCATTTTAAATGAACCCTGTATTTAACAAAAATGTCATTAAAAAGTGGTCACTAAATTAAAATTTGTGGCAAATACAAACATTTTTTCTTCTTCTAAATATCGCTATTTACTTGATACATACCACTACTTTTAACTAGTCTTTTCTTCGCCATGCATTTATAAAGTCCACTTCTGTTGCATTGATAGTATGATACTTTCCTACCATCTTTATCAATCTTTTCACCAGAAGGTAAAACATATTGTGTTGCATTATTACTTTCAACATCTGATTTCCACATTTCAAATTCTAAAAAAATTATTTACAAGAATCAAATAACTACTACAAGACAAAAAGAGAGACAATGAATTTGAAAGCAATTGTGTAACACCTTATATAAAAAAAAAATTCATAACCATCAACAGCAACTGGACTAAATATATTTTTTTATTTATGTAAGTAATTGTGTTTGGAACTACTACAAATTCAAAATCATTTTCACGACACATAATCAGTTACAAATTAAAAAAATAACAAAGCAAGAACACAAAAAGTTGGATGCAAAATAAATGGCATATTTACTCTAAACTATTTCTACTTTTAAAAACATTAAAGCATTACCTCGATAATTAGCAAATGATAATTTTTCTTTCTGAAAAGTATAAAAATGAACTGTAGATAAATGTTTTCTTAAATCCTTAACTCGCCTACATTTAAATCCACATTGAAGACAAAAAGAATTTCCTGATTGAATATTTTCTTGTGCTTCATCAATTGATTTGTGTTTATTTTTCATATGCCGCATCATGTTTTTTTTTTGGGTGAAAGAGATATTGCAAATTGCGCATTTTAAAGATAAATCGATATTTTTTACACTGGCCATATTTTTTTTATTTAAGTTGGATTCGAAAACATTTGTATATATGGCATCTTCATCAGAATTAGTATCACTTACCTCAATACTGCTGGAAACTTCACGCACAATAGTGGTAGGAACAACAAAATCAAGATTTATTTCTTTTGAGATAAACCATGACATTAAAACTAATCTTAAATATTTAGAATATTTAGTAGGGTCTTTTAAAAAAATGTAATTATTGGTCCCTATTTGACCATTATTTATCATACATTTAAAGTAATCATATTTTAGGCAAGAGATTGCACATACTATTATGGTAATAACTCCACAAATATTTCCACATGTCTGCATGGGATAATTTTCTTTGCAAAAAGAACTGCATTTTTTAACTCCATTCATATGTGTCTTTGGATCATGACAATAAGTGATATTAAAGCTTTCGTTTATGTGATACAATTTTCTGATTAATAATTTAACTTTAGTTAAAAAATCATCTGGAGCTGACCATCCTAAAGAATCTCCATAGTAAAAATTACCTTCAATACTATCATAAACTGCAAGTGTCCAGTGGCAACCTGCATTTAAATCTGTACCAGAAAATGTTTTCTCGTTGTTTCCTCCAACATTTATAATAAAGATCAGCTTTTCAGGGACAACAGTTATTCTTGATACATAATGCTCAATATTTCCTAAAAAGTTAAAATAAATTACCTTTGAATGGCTTTGGATCAAGTTTAAAATGCTGGACATTTGCAGCATATGATCTGATGAAAGCCATCTAGCACAACATAACTCAGCTAAAGTATTAGGGCTCATCCCATATTCTGATATTTCATTGTTAGCTGGCCTTTTAAAAAGCACTTCTTTGAATTTTTCAATTAAATTTTGAGAAGGAAAAATACTGATTGATTTTGGTACTAACTTGGGAGAATTAAACCATGTTAACTCTTGATCAACTGCTAGCTTCATTTCTTGAACCCTATGAAGAGCTATTAGAAGCTGAACACTTTCATACATGAACTTTCCTAGATTGCATTCTATATAATGGATTCCACTCGCAATATTATTACGCATAGATAGTTCAGTGGACCATTTCATTAACTGATGTTTAGGTGGTAAACTTTTAAGAGAAAATACATCATCAGTTATATCAACAGGAGACTGGCTTGTTTTGATAGAATAATCTTGAACAGATTTAATAAACTGTTTCTGTGACTCGTAAGCATTTTGTCGATTATAATTGTTGATCGTAAGGTGATTAAGCTTTAACTTGTTTGAAGACAAGCTAGCAGATGCCTAAATAAAAGTTCTGTCTTTTAGAAGAAGAAAAAATGCATTATATTTAATGTAATAAAACTGTACTAAAACTCACCATCGTTATTGCGTATTAGAAACTAGAAACTAGTAGCGTGCTCTATCCCATATATATTGTACATATATTATATATATATATGTTTATCCATACAAAGGCATAAACTTTTTTTAAATACGGCAACGAGAAAAAATTGTTTTCCGGACTAAGAAAAACAATCTTTTTTCGTCCAATCAAAATAGGGAGCCATTCCTGTATTTAACGATTAGTAAAACAGTAAAAAGTTATTACCTGTAGCTGGTAGTGAAAGTCCTCAAAAATGCTTTTTATATTTTAAAGAATGCAAAAGATACGAGAACTTGAAGCGTATTTCTGACAAAAATACACCATATAGTACAAATGCTATTCGTTTTGTGTGCATATCAGACACTCATGGTAAACACAGCGAAATACCGGACCTTCCTGAAGGCGATATTTTGATACATTCAGGAGATTTTAGTATGTTGAGCCATAAGAATGAGTTAGAAAGTTTTAACAATTATTTAGGAACCTTAACAAACAAGTTTAAGCATATAATTGTAATTGCAGGCAACCATGACATATCTTTTGATGATAAAAAATGGAATAGTTCTAGTATAGTCTTATCTGTTGCAAAAACATATTATTTAGGTTCACCATTTGCTAAAATGTTGAGTCCTAAAGATTCAAAAAGTATTTTAACTAATTGTCATTATTTACAAGATGATTTTATCATTATTGATAGAATAAAAATTTATGGGTCACCTTGGCAACCTCCTCATTTTGATTTAGCATTTAATTTAACACGTGGAAGCAACATAATGGAAAAATGGAATAATATTCCATCTGATACTGACATTTTAATTACTCATGGACCACCACTTGGCATTGGAGATGAAATAAGTAATTGTTATCATGTTGGGTGTGCAGATTTGTTAGTCACTGTACAAGACAGAGTTAAACCAAAGTTTCATATATTTGGACATATTCATGAAAGCCATGGTATGTGGAGTGATGGAACTACAACTTTTGTTAATGCAACAATTTGTGATAAAAAATATGAACCAGTTCAATCTCCTATAGTCTTTGACTATTATTGCAATAAATAACAATTTATTTTATTATTTGCATTGTGCATGGAAACTAATTATTAAACATTTAAAATATGCTTAAACTATGCTTGCAAAATATGCTCTGCATAAATATGCGAGGGGAGGTCTAGTTATTTATTGATGTTTAACCTTTCTGTGTTTATACTCATTTAATTTAAATCAGGTTACTATCTGCTATCTAAACCAGATACTATTGATAATTATACTATTTCTTTTTATATAAACCAGATAACTGTTTATTTTATTTTTTTACCTAATTATTTTTTTGGAATTGATTTCAATTGTAAATATTGTATATACAAATATAAGTTATTCTAATAATTTTTCAGTATTATTTCAATAATGAATAATTATTTTGATTATTTAAAGCAATTTTAATAATGACTTTTTATCAAAAGAGTTTTTGATAATAAATGTTTTTCAATTTGATTTTTTTGAATAATATCAGTGATCAAATAATGCAGAAAAACAAAGTGTCAAGCAGTACTGCTTTTTTAATATTTTTAATGAGACGTTATAAAAATCCAATATTTTTAGTATAAAAGTACAACAACTTTGTTAACTACAATTGATGCTACAAAACAAAGTTTTTAATAAAGAAACTAGTTAGCTGCCGAATAACTATTTTACAATAATATTAATGATAAAAAAAATAATAATAATAGGGATATAATACCATTGATAATCATTCTAAAAAATTATTCACTGTAAGTAGAAGTGTGATTATAAATAGTAATTATAGGTATTAAATTATATTATATAAAATTATTTTAATTATATGATATAGTTGTATAGCACCAGTAGTATATGAATAATAACATACTACGGTTGTGTCTCATACGTTTAATATGCTACTCATTAAAAAAAGTTTTGCTACTACTTTAGTCAAATGATTTTTTTTTTTTCTTTTAATTTAATAAAAAGTTGTTGTAACTTATTTTGCATGATTTAAAGTTTTGTTTCTATTGTCATAAATTTTTCTATTTTCGAAACATTTTTTTTTTTTTAATATTGTTGTTTTTAGTCCTGTTTTTGTGACTTCTAAAAAACTTTTAAAAAACCTTTAGTTCATCAACATTTTATTGAAATAGAAAATATAACTTTAAAATAATTTAATATTTTTTCCAGTCTTTTAAAGTAAACAGTAAATAACCTAATAAAGAATGTTTTTAATTAATATAAAGATAAACAAGTGAAATTTTTGGAGTAACGTAAATCAAAAGATATTTAAATCTTTTTAAACATATAAATTATAATTCATTAATTTTTTTGCATATATATGTATATCTTTTCATATATTTTTTGCATTTAAGTTTAATAAAATCAATAAATATTATTTTAAATAAATTTTCTTTATTTAATTCATTAAAATTTAATTTTATCAATAAATATTATTTTAAATAGTTTTTCTTGATTTTATTATTTAAAATTTATTAAAATTTAATAATATCAATATTTATTATTTTAAATAAATTGATTTTAATAACTGATTTTATTTCTATAAATCTTGATTTTATTGATACTTCTCCTCTTCCTCCCCCTCCCTTTCCTCCGCCATCACTTTTTCCTCCGACTTCTATTAGATCTATTAAAACATTCTTTAAAATATTTGCAGAATCAAGAACCTTTTAATTGCTTTGAAAATTAATTTCTTATGTGTAATTTATAAATAGTAAAAAGCAGCTTTATTTTAATTTTTTTATGATCATCATGAATTATGTTATAAAACCTGGATTTACCTTTTATATGAATAAAGTATATACTTTTAGATTTGCATAATATTTGAAAAGTAACAATTATTAATTCTGAGGGTTAAGATAGTAAAAAAGTTGACATACAGATTGTTAAAGTTTTTACAAGCAATTTGCTAATGGTAACAGCTGAAAAGACAAAAAAAATCAGTGAAACACGCTGGTGGTCAAAACAGGTGACGCTTGAATGAAATCATGGTGATGCTTCACAAGTAGAACAATCTATAATGCTCCACAAGTGCAATCTTTGTATGCTCTTTTGGAAGATATTAATTGTTTAAAGATGTCGTCAAAATTTGATGCAAAGTCATCATTTGAAGCCACAGCACTGCATGACAAATGGTTTAATTCGATGTGCTTTTTGCAGCCTTTCTGATTCTCTTACACCATTTTGCAGCCTTTCTGCTACACCATTTTGGAACAAGCTTCCGAACATTTGCAAACAAGATGGCCGCTACATAATCTGACACGTTTACATGTGTCAGATTTTGTAGCAGCCGTCTTCTGTTCATTAGACACTGAAGAATTTGCCTGCTGGGAATTTTCTGACGAAGATTCCAAAACAACCAGCACTATGTACAATGCAATCGTTAACAGTTAGTAACTAACTTACTAAATGTTGTAAGCTTTATAGATATTATAATTATTTAGACATTTAATTATGTTATGAAATGTTTTTATATATTATGTATATAGGAATATATTATAAGTTAAACAACCGAGATTATTTAAAAATCATTAAGTTTTTAAATAATCACAAAAGTTATAAAATTTACTTTACAATATACTTAAAGTAGTAGGGTCTTCTATGCGTTAATTTCCCTTGGCAAATAATTTAAATTAATGCAAGTTAAAGCAAACAACTTTAGCAACAAAGTCAAAAATATGATAAAAGTAATTCATAATTAAACGGGTCATTAAGTGTAGCACTCCTACTAAAAAAGAAAATAAGTTAGTAATCTTACAACCATTAAATATTTTGAAATAATTTTTACACAGGCCATCATATAATTATTTTTTTGCACATTTAAAAAAAAATTTAAATATTGAGAAAACCGGAGTTTTTTTCTTAGTTTTTCGATTAACTTAGTTTACTGGTAATAAAGAGTTGTAAACCGATAATTTTCTTTATTGAACATATTTATTTATTATCCCTTTTTTTTCATATCTATAAATAACAAAAATTTAAGGAAAATAATTTGAATCGGTTTTCTTTACAGTTCACACCCGTAAAAATGAATTGAAGTATCTTACTACAGAGGTAGCTAGAATATTTTTTACATATAAAAAGTCGATTTGTTGCATAAAATTTGTATCAAATAAAAAACTGGCTACCTCTGTAGGAACATGATTTGATACATTATTCTTTACAGACTAACAAGAAAAACCTATAATGCAAAATTTTATTTGGCTTTTCTTGGTTTTTCATTAATTTAGTATATCATTAAGTTGAAAATTTATCATGTATATTATTAAGTTGTAAGTATAATGCAGAAGTTTGATTATTATCATAAGCAATTCAAAAATTTATCAAAAACATGTATTTTTTTACTTTGAAATTTTACCTCTTAAAAAAGAAAAATTGAGAAAAAAAGTTCTTCAAAAGTAGGTCAACCTGGTGCTCAAAAAAGCGAAATTATGTAAAAGTTTTAAAAATTATACCTTTTTATAAAAACATATTAAAGAAAAAAACTTGTAAATATGAAAATAACACAACTAAATCAGATAAACAGTAGGCAAAACGAAAAAAAAGGTTTTGAGTTGTATTTAATTGCAACAGGAGTTACATAAACTGCACAAAAATGTAAAGGAAAATGTAGAAGAGACAAAACTCTTAAAGGAAACGATACAGGTTAATACAATCCTATGTGTAAACTGCTCAATCAATATTTTAAACATAAAAGAATATCACCTATGAACGTTTACGAACGTTTATGAACTTTTTACGAGCAAAAAACAAAATGAATTTAAGAGTAAAGTTTTGTTACTTTTTTTAACTCTGAATTAAGATTACGTAATTAAATATTTTGCTTTTCCAAATACTGAAACTAAAATTTCTTAGGATGAAGAAATGAACCTAGAGATATATGTTGACTTTAGGCACATTGAGGAGATATCAAAACAATAAGCAAAAGCAATTGGTAGACCGTTAAGCAAAACCAAACTTTTTCAGAAGACAAAAACAAGCAACAAGTTTAACGTTAAAATCTAACAAAATTGAAACTAGGTATAAAAGAGATAACTTGCTATGCTTGTAATTTGGAGAGAAATACTTTGTTGATCACCAAAAAGAGTGCAAAACTTAAGGCAAAACATGTTATAAATCATCAAGCTATTTGTTACATAAATTTTTTACAAAACGCTTTTTTAAAAAAAGCTTTACAGGACAAGGCAACAAAAAGAGATTTAGTAAAACAAATGTGAAAGCAGTTCAAAAAGTGAATTAGAGGAAGAGTTTGCCAATTCAAAACAGAAAAGAAATTTAACTTACCCTTTAAAGCCTCTAAAATTGATAGGTTATTTTATAGCGCGAATTAAAGCAGAAAACAAAACAACTATTAAATAGGATATTTAGGCTATTTTTATAGCCAACAAAAATTTTGTTTATGTTTTGTTTTTTTTTGTTTTTTTGTTTTTTTCAGAAAAATATGAACAAAGTAAATTTACATTGAATATATTACTGGTAGGACTTCCAGAAGATCACATGATCTTATCATGAATCCCTTTACAATCTATATAACGAATTAAAAGGTAGAAAATTTACAAATATTAAAAATTACATAAGCGTTAGAATATTCTTCAGATGTTAAGCAAGTTTTAACATAATATTTTATAATATGGATATATAACATTCTCAATATTGAACAATATTAATATATAAAGTATTCAGCATATATTGTTTAAATAATATTTATCACACAGTCGACAAAAATATCAAATAACTTGAAATACTAAAAATAAACTATGCCAACTTTATATGGCGCTTCCCCATATAATATTGGCATAGTTTATATGGCAATGAATAAATGAATAATATAGTTGAGTTAGTTGCTTTTTATTTAGTATATATCGAGCTTTGTATAGAACTCCAATGTTTTTAGCAACCTTCATTGAAATACTATCAATTTGCTGACTCCAAGATAAGTTTTCATCTATTATGACTCCTAAAAATTTTGTAAATTTTTCTCTTTTTATGATTGTATTGTGAATAGGTCAGGTAAGATATTTTGGATTCTCTTTTTTTTAGAGGTTGGGTGAAAAAGTATAAACTTTAATAGAAATATTTTTATAAAGTATCGCGTTAATTTTTTGGCACCAAAAATTAAATTTTTTTTTTTTTTTTTTTTTTTTGTGCGTAAAGTTATCTGCAATAACAAATTTTTTTTTAAATTTGTTCAGAAATAAGATTATGAATCTATATTATTTTAACAATATATATATATATATATATATATATATATATATATATATATATATATATATATATATATATATATATATATATA